CTCTCTCTCTCTCTCTCTCTCTCTCTCTCTCTCTCTCTCTCTCTCTCTCTCTCTCTCTCTCTCTCTCTCTCTCTCTCTCTGCGACGGTTTAAGCTCGGTAGATCGAAAGGTAAAGCAACGATTTTTTTTAAAAAAAATTAGTTATGAATCCTTCATGCATGTCTTAGATTTCTCTTAGATTGTGCTTGTTCTAATTTATTTTGTGTTGTTTTGGGTCTGTTGATTCAATCTCTTGTATTTGATTGAACTTTGTGATGAATTTATATGTGATCTCTGATTGTTTGAATTTTTTTCCTGTCTTTGCGAGATGGTTTGATCTTTGAAGACACATGTAGGTTCCTCAAACAAGAGAACTACAACCGCAACACAGGTAAATCATATTCCTTTGATCTTTTAAATTGATTGAAAGTGTGATAAATGTTCTGTGAATAGATCGGTAGGTCCTTGTTGAGTAATGGTTCACTTTGAAGTTGATTTCGAATTGTTATAGTTATGAATGTTTGTTAGATTAGTTTGTAAGAAATGATTGTGTTAGAAAGTGTTCACATAGGGATGATTGTGTATCTCTTCTGAATTGATTAGTTTGTAATAAATGGTTAGGTTAGCGTTAGTGAATGGTTGCTAATAAATGGTTAGATAGAAATGGGTTTGAAGTATTATGAATGTGTGTTAGATATATGTCACCTCGTTTTGGTTGGGTGTGTTATTAAAGACAAAGCTTTTGTTTTTTCTCTTCTATAAATTGTATTTTCTTCTCTTTTTCTCTTCCATCTATCTAAAAACAGAGATATTATCTTCCTCTCTTCTTTTAATCAATCTCCGATATGGATTCTCATCCCTATAGGTATACACCAAAGTTTGTTGAACTGCTTAACAGTCAACAAAACATTGTCTTTGGTTTGTCTGAAGATAGCCTCGACTTAACTTCATCACAAGTCCATTTTTCGGGAACCCAACCAACTGAAGATTCCAACTTCGGCGACAGCTCTACTGCAGAGCGTCGAGAAAGGAGATAGTGGACGCCAGGAGATGACATTCTACTCATCATCGCATGGCTTAATACAAGCAAAGATCCTGTGATATCAAATGGGAAAAAATCCAGAGTTTTTTGGAAAAGGATTGCGGAATACTTCGCCACAAGTCGTAAGGTGCAAGGCTGTGAAGCGAGAAAAGCGACCCACTTCAAGAACCGTTGGCAGAAGATCAATGATCTAGTCAAAATTTTTTTTGGGGCTTACGAAGCTGCAAGTAGAGATAGGAAAAGCGGTCAAAATGATAATGATATTCTCAACGAAGCTCATGCTATCTTCTCTAATAACCACAAAAAAATTTTCAACCTTGAGCATGCTTGGAAGGAGCTTCGAAACGATCAGAAATGGTGTGAGCTTAATACCTCCAAAGCCGGTGGAAGCAGAAAGAGGAGGAACCTTGATGCTGGTGCACATTCCTCAACTTCTCATGCGCTTGAAACCAATAATGCTGAAGCTGATGAAGCAGTCAGTCGTCCCACGAGTGTGAAGGCACCAAAAGGGTATGCTAAGAAAAAGAACAAGGCAGAGGTGAAGTCGATGGCTGACTATGAGACCTTGTGGAACATAAAAAAAGGAGGATCTGTCTATGAAGGAGAGGCTGTCGAAGTTGAAGCTGTTGGAAAGCCTAATTGCTAAGTCTGAAACGTTAGATGAGGATGAGAAATCGCTGAATAACTTATGTTTTGATTGGAATGTGTATGTGCTTGTGTTTGTTATGGATAACTTCATTATCTCTATGTTATTTTAATGTTTGTTATGGATAATATATGAAACTCTTTTTTTGATATATGTGCTTGTGTCTGTATTTTTCCTTTACGTTTATCTATAATGCTGATTAAGTTCTATACGTATTTCTTTGTTGCAGAGACTAGCTAGAGACTTTTATAAACGAAGTAAGCACTCAAGAAATTCCAGATGGTTTGAAGCTTCCAGACTTTTATACAAAGAGCCATGGTACGCTTTGTTAGTTCTTGTTCTCTCTGAAGTGAGCTATGAATATTAGAAGACTGTCTTATGTGATTTGTTTATGTCTGTCTTAAACAGATGGAGAAGTTTGAAAGGGATATTAAAGTAACGGACCTGCTTGTCTGTTTGTGTCAAAGACTGTCTGAAGATAACTGTCTTTTAAAGTCACGGACCTGCTTGTCTGCTTGTGTCACGAGTTATTGTCAAGGACTGTCTCAGCTTGTATCACGAGATTTTAAAGTTGTTGTGTTTGTATACAATCTTGTGTGACGAGTTATTCACAATCGTGTATATATATGTCGTATTGCTTAATTCACAATCTCATCTTCTCTCTTGTTGTATTGCTATATTCACAATCTCATCTTCTCTCTTGTTTTATTGCTTTATTCACAAGATCATACAACACCATCTCATCTTGCTTTCGTTTTGTTCACAAAGTAATCAATTTTTTTTCAACAAAAATGGCATCTTCTTCTCATAACATTTTTGAGGGATTAGATGATGATAGTTTAGATCAATATTTTGATCAATATTTTGATGAAGCTTTTGATCAACCGTTTGATCAAGCTCTCGAAAATTTAGCCAACGATTCGGGTGATCAAGGAGAAGAAAGGAAAAGAAGGAGAAAACAAATTCATATTGAAAGAAATCGTGAAGAAGGCAATGTCTATTTATGGAACGATTATTTTAGTGAAACTCCAACTTACCCTCATAATCTATTCCGACGACGGTTTAGAATGAACAAACCATTGTTCATGCGCGTCGTTCATCAATGAAGTTGAATACTTTTGACAAAAGCACGATGCTCTCGGAAGGGTTAGTCTCTCTCCTCTTTAAAAGTGTACAGCAGCCGTTCGTCTCTTGGCATATGGTAGTGTGGCTGATACTGTTGATGAATATCTCCGACTCGGTGCAACTACTACTCACTCATGTTTGGAACATTTTGTGGAAGGAATAATAAATTTATTCGGCGAGGAGTACTTAAGAAGACTAACACCGGCTGATCTTCAACGTCTACTTTATATTGGTGAACAACGTGGATTTCCCGGGATGATAAGAAGCATCGACTATATGCATTGGGAGTGGAAGAATTGTCCCACCGCTTGGAAAGGTCAATACTCACGTGGTTCGGGAAAACTCACAATCGTTTTAGGGGTGGTTGCTTCGTATGATTTATGGATATGGCATACGTTTTTTGGACTTCCAAGTACTTTAAATGATATCAATGTTCTTGATCGCTCTCCTGTTTTTGATGACATTATAAAAGGTCAAGCTCCGCAAGTCACTTTTTCTGTCAACGGAAGAGAGTATCGCTTGGCTTACTATCTACCGACGGTATCTATCCGAAATGGGCAACTTTTATCCAATCTATTCGAATACCACAAGTGACACAAGCGGTTTTATTTGCTCAACATCAAGAAGCTGTCTGAAAAGATGTCGAGCGCGCTTTTGGAGTCTTGCAAACTCGCTTTGCCATCGTTAAAAATCCAGCACTTTTTTGGAATAAAGTCAAAATTGGTAAGATTATGAGAGCATGTATCATACTCCATAACATGATAGTCGAAGATGAACAAGATGGATACACTTAATATGATGTTTACGAGTTCCAACAAGGAGAAGACAACAAAAGTTCACATGTTGATCTCACGTATTCTACAGATATCCCTACAAATATCGCCAATACGATGGGTGTTCGAACGAAAATTCGTGATGGACAAATGCATGAACGAAAGCTGATTTAGTTAAACATATGATGGGTGATCGAAATTTGGACGTGATGAAGACAACAGTTGAGCTCTCGGATGTTTCTTTCAAATTATTCTCGATTATTGTACTAATCTTGGTTTTTATGTTTTCATTTTAAATTCTATGTTTTAAATGTTATGTTTTAATATGGCTTATTTAATAAATAAAATTTATCTTTAATAAAAGTTTAATATATTTTCAGTTTTAAGAACTCTAAATTAAGCACCTTGCATTGGAGGCACAAAATTACAAGAGTGCTTAATACAATTGCTTAACCCACATTTATTAGTTAAAAAATGGTTAAGCACTCCTAATACATTGCTAGGGATAATTCTGCTCTAAGCGTTTAGTTTTAGAGAAAAAAAAAAGAAATTAGTGCTACAAAGCTAATAACGTACACTTGGTAATTTTCTCCTCCGCGTCATCTTTCTCTTTTTGAAGACGAAACTTTTATTTTTGGCCAACAACCAAACGTGTTAAGTTTGACTTTACCTTTGTTGCCGGTGGGGCTCACGCTTTAAGTTTTAACCTTACAAAGAAACAATATGCAGTTGACCATTGGTCTAAAACCGTCTGCGGATGATTACAAGCATCACTATATATACTTCACCATCTCTACTTCCAAGTATACCACATTACTACAGTCACAAAACTCAAAACATATCCGGTAATCACAGACATAGTTCTCTTTCGACCATCTTCTTTTCAAGTTTATATTTTTTCTGCAAATAAAATGATGTTGCCAGAAGCATGTGTAGCCAACATCATTTCCTTTACATCTCCGGCAGACATATTCTCATCCTCGGCAGTATCTTTGGTTTTCCGGTTAGCAGGAGACTCTGATTTCGTATGGGCAAAATTGTTGCCCTCAGACTACAAAAGTCTCATCTCTCGATCTGCTGATCATCATCGGGGTTTTTCTTCCAAAAAGGAGATTTATCGATGTTTATGTGACTCTCTTCTCATCGATAATGCTCGAAAGGTTCGATCTTAATGAACAAATTTGTATTTAAAATAAGGTTTTAATATGATTTATGGGGACTAATAATTTCTCTGGATGCACTTTCAGCTCTTCAAGATCAATAAATTGTCTGGAAAAATTTCTTATATTTTATCAGCGAGAGATATTTCCATACCATCAAGCGACCAAGCATCCTACTGGTCCTGGAGCAAGGTTTCAGATTCTAGGTCAACTTTTCAAACTTCAAATAACTATTTTTTGCTTTGTGTAAATTCCAGAATTTATTGCATCTAATACATTATTTTTTACAAATAATTACAGATTTTTGGAATCTGCTGAACTTATAACAACCGATCGTTTAGAAGTCAATGGTAGAATTCAAACCGGAGTTTTATCACCAAACACAAGATATGGAGCATATCTCATAGTCAAAGTGTCTAAACACGCTTACGGACTAGACTCAGTTCCGGCAGAGACTTGTATCAAGTCTAGTAATGGTCGAGGTGTTAAAAATATAGCTTATCTATGCTGCTTGGATGAGAAGAAACAACAAATGAAGCGGCTGTTTTATGGAAACCGTGAAGAGCGTATGGCGATGACTGTGGAGATGGTTGGTGGGGACGGTAAAAGGAGGGAGCCCAAAGGTAGAGACGATGGATGGATGGAGATAGAGCTAGGTGAATTTGAGACACGAGAAGGAGAGGATGATGAGGTCAGTATGAGTTTGACGGAGGTGAAAGGATATCAACTGAAAGGTGGCATTGTGATTGATGGTATTGAAGTGAGGCCTAAGTCTCAGAATTAGGAACATGATTGAGTAGCGGAACTTAATCATGCACGAGAGACATAGAAAATAAGAGAAAGTACAGAGTCTTGTGTTAAGAAATTGATTTATAAGCCTTTTGTTAAAAAAGAAAGAAAGAAGAAATTGATTTTTTTTTGGGACAATTGCACAAATAACATTTTTGTGATACCACAATTCAACTTTACCACAACTTAAGGGACATTTTCATAAATACACAATTCATCAATGACAAAAATACAATATTATCCTTCCGTATCTTCTGTTCTGCTTAAATCAAAGCCGATCGACGGCGATATTGTCTCAGCCTCCCGTGATAAATCCATCCTCCGACGGCCAATTTATCATCTCCAGAAGCTGGGACGGCGAGCTCCGCCTCTGGACCTGACCGCGGAGTCTCTACTCGCCGACAACGGCGTCCTTTAAGTCAATGGCGTAGCCGAGATAAAGAAAGAGAGAGGGATGAGATTAGGGGAGGGTCGAGAGATAGAGAGAGGAGTAGCAAAGAGAGGGAGAGGAGCGATAGGGAGAAGAGCAGAGATAGAGAGAGGAGACAGAGGGAGAAGGATAGGGAGAGGAGGGAGAGGGAGAGGAGAAGCAGTAGTAGGTCACAGAGGGAAGAGAGGGAATCGTGAAGTAGTTGATATAGGAAGTTTAGATTCTGTTCCTTTCTTTATGTAGTTTAGGATCAATCACCAATACGTATCAGCTCCTGAGAAAAGGTTGAGTGAAAGAAGAGAATATTGTAGTGTTCATATTTGATGACATCGCAAAGAACAAAGAGAACCCAAGACCTGGAATCATTATTAACAGTCCTAACGGAGATGATGTTTATAGTGGAGTTCCCAAGGTTGTTTTTTCTCATTTTTAGATATGTAGTTATATTGTGGATCCATTGAGTTAATTGTTTTGGATCTGCTTGTGGCAGGATTACACTGGAGATGATGTTAACGTTGGTAATCTGTTTGCTGTGATTCTTGGAAATAAAACAGCTCTTAAAGGAGGAAGTGGTAAGGTTGTAGATAGTGGTCCAAACGATCATATCTTCATATACTATAGTGATCATGGTGGCCCGGGAGTGCTTGGTGAGTTCTACCTACTTGTTTTGTTTCTCATGTTAAACCAACGAAGTTGATATGATGACAATAAAGTTTGATGATTCAAGTCTCCATGGTTGTTTGTAGGGATGCCAACTTCTCCGGCTCTATATGCAAACGATCTAAACAATGTATTGAAGAAGAAACATGCTTCTGGAACATATAAGAGCTTGGTATAATTTCAAGAATCTTATGAAAAAGATTTCTTTTTTCAGGTGCCTGTGATTTTAGTTTGAGTTTTATGTTTTGATTTTGCAGGTGTTTTATCTTGAGGCTTGTGAGTCTCGAAGTATATTCGAAGGTCTTTTACCAGAAGGTTTAAACATTTACACGACAACTGCATCAAATGCAGAAGAAAGCAGCTGGGGTACTTATTGTCCTGGAGAGGATACGAGTGTACCGTCCGAGTATGAGACCTGTTTAGGCGACTTATACAGTGTTGCCTGGATGGAAGATAGGTATGTATGCTAGTCTACTATCATGATATCACAAATGTAAAATATGGTGTATAGGATTCTTATTCGTCTGTTTTTCTTTGTTTACATTGCAATAGTGATAAACACAATTTAAAGACAGAGAGTTTGCACCAGCAATATGAACTGGTAAGCTTCATGTTCATAAGCCATCTAACAAAAGTCTTGCATTTATCTACGCCTGGGGATTTGGTTATATGGTAAGTTGTTGTTTACAAAGTTCTTTCTTTTGGTATACCATTTTGAATCTGGTCACTTTTTTTTTTTAATTTGCAGGTACGACAGCGTCACTGTTTGTGGTGATCTTGAATGTCAAGATCAGTTGAATGAGAGGAACAAACCATTCTTTGACTTGTGTGATGGAATCTTCATGAACTACACATGGAAGGTACTTTTTTTGGTTTGATCATTTTCTTTAGTTGATATGGCTGAGTTGGTCTAAGGCGTCATACTAAGGTTCTGGTCCGAAAGGGCGTTGGTTGAAATACTACTCTCAACATTTTTTTTTTTTTGCGCTAGTCCCCTTGTTGTCTACATCTACATGTGTGTGTGCTTATCTGTTTCTGTTGCTGATGTTTGTTCTATCCGATTATTGTGTTTGATTTTTATACTGAAGATGAGTTCAATATGCACTTTGGTCTACTGTTTTCGTAGGTTCTGTTGGATATTGGATCCTTGATTAAATCATAAACAAGAAATAACAGTAAGAGAATAGAAGAAGAAGAGCAAAGAAGAGTAGCAGAGAAAAAGCTACAAAGAAGAAAGAAGAAAGAAGAAAGAAGCGTGAAGTACAAGAAACATAGGAATCAAAGGTTTATAAACCATTTATAAAACTAACTTATATAGTTATAATTTTATATTCAGTTTAGAAGGGGTATGTATACAAGTTATAATAGGTTTAAGAGCAATTAAAAGGTCCTAGATCATTTTAAAAAAATCTATAACTATTTAGAAAGGTTTATAAAACATATTTATAATCGTTTGTATGATAATTTATGATGGTTTATAATTGGTATGTAGATAATTTATAAATGTTTATAAAAACAATTTATAAAGATTATATACCTTTGTAAAGGTTTATAAAATATTTTATAAAGAAATTTAAAATTATTTGTAAGTCTCTACCATTTATAAAGGCTTATAAAACAAGTTATTAAATCTATAACAAGTTTTTTTTTCTTTTATGCAGAGCCGGTCTCTTGAATGATGTCGTAACAAGGAAAAGCTTATAATGACACATAAATAATGGTTTGTATGATAATTTATAAGGGTTTATAAGGATATGTAAATAATTTATAAATGTTTATAAAAACAATTTATAAAGATTATACAATTTTATAAAGGTTTATAAAACAATTTATAAAGATATGTAAAAATATTTGTAAGTCCATACCATTTACACTAACGTTACACTACCAAAACATTAACCTCCCACCTCATATATTGTGCATACTAAGCCTTGCCAGTTACTACAACCAAAATGCTCATCACATATGCCAGGAAAAACACCATTTAGTCTGATCCATCTTTCAATCTATTTATGTATTTTTTGATGGATCAATTGTATTTGCAAGAAGGAAGTATCTATAATGATTAATAAAGCTATTCATGTTTGTTTATAAATGTTTATAATATAAATCATATGAATATATACAATAGTTTTGTATATAAACCATTTATAATAGTTTATAAAACTTATTATGAACCACTAATATTTATAAATCATTTGCAAGGATTTGTAAAAGACTTTGTCTAAATTCTAAACTATTTTAAGAGTTTATAATTTATAAGAATATATAGAATTTTTTTTATTATAATCTATAAATCATTTATAAGAATATATAATATTATTTATAAGGGTTTATAAAATCATTTATAAGGCCTTGTAAATTCTAAAGGTAATTCAGTTATAAAGTTAAAACATTTTATGAAGGTGTTTAAATCATTTATTAGGGATTATAAAACATCTATAAGAATAAAAAATAAATTTATAAAGATTTATAAAAACTTCTAAACTTCTAAAAACTTCTAAACTTCTAAACTACCCTGAAGGCTATATGAAAGTTAAATATGTTGTTGACAAACTTTATGAAATAGAATTAAAATAAGAGTACATATAAAATCATTTTATAAGGATTTATAAATTATTCATAAGGTTTAAAAGTCATTTATAAGTGTTTATAAATCATTTATAAGTGTTTATAAATAATTTATAAGTGTTTATAAATAATTTATAAGGGTTTATAAAACATTTATAAGGTATCTACATTTATAAGAGTTAATATAGTATATATAAAAGCTTATATATTATTTATAGAGGTTTATAAGGGTTCATTAACTGATTTATGAAATCTTATAAACTAATTTATAAGAGATTTTATATTAATTTACAAGTGTGTATAAATTAATTTATAAAGGTTTATAAATTGATTTATAACACTTTATAAAATATCTATTGGATTCTATAAGTTAATTATTAATATTTATAAACTAATTTATAAAGCTTTGTAAATCATTTGAATCTAACTCCAACAGAATTTGGATTTGTAAAACTCTTGTTAGTTTTATAAACTGAAACAAAGAAACACTGTAAACAATAATCCAAATATTGTTAGTTTTATATTTTGAGTTACCAAAAGAAGAAAAAAAGATATGAGTTTCACTTTTTCATGTTCATCATGTATGCTTACCACATACTATTACTGTATGTCTATCGAAGTTTTAGAAAACATCACTTCATTACATCAGTCTGCTGTTAAAATTCAAAACCTAACAAAGTCTTTGGAGCACAAACCATAGAACACACATTACTCTTGATATTAATTTCCAGATGGCCTTCCATTAGTACCTTGAGGATTGTTATTGTTACCTTCCTGAGATCCTCCAAACATCTGCATCATTGATCGCAATGCACCTGAAAACTCTTCAGGCATTTGATCCGCGGCGCCAAGATCTATGTTGATGTTTCCGCCTACACGAATCTCATGCTCATTTGTACCATTTATGTTACCATCTCCTCCTCTGTTTCCCGTCATGTTCATGAACATGCTCATCATATCAGGGTTTAAAGGCATCGAGAAATGAGAAGGTATTCCTTGCCCTCCCATTCCTGGATCTTGATTATGTCCCATGTTTGTATTCTGCTCTTACAACACCACAAAACCGTTAGTTCCTTTGGTTTTCTACTACTCCATGTGATAAATTTTACCTGATTACGTCTCTGTCGTTGTTCTTCTTCTCTTAGTTTTTGTTCAGCCACCTGTGTTTTCCAAATACGTCAATATCACAGTCTCATCAAGTTACAGAATGATCACGATAAAGCAGATAAGTATATTTCTTAACAAAAAAAAAAAAGAAAACCGACCCTGATATTTTCTTTGACAGATTCATTATGCGGATCCAACTCCAAAGCTGCCATGAGTGTGATGAAAAAGATTACACAGAATAATTTTGATAGCTAACGTAATGAAGCAAAGCTGTAGCCCCTTTCTAAAGTATGAAAATATATGCTAACTTGATAAAGAAGGTTGGATTCATTTCTAGGAACACATACATACCTTTCTTGAATCCTTTCTCAATAGCATCAGCATACTCTCCTTGAGCATAATATGCTAACCCAAGACGACTGTAAGCCTTACTATAGTTTGGATCGATCTCAATGGATTTACCTTAATTGCTTCTGAGCACATGCTGATCTGAGTATATGCAGCAGCCCTGATATACAATTATTTCAAAACAGATTAAGCAGGAAACACAATCAGAGAGCTAACTAACTTAAGCTTCCAGATAATATCAAGTTCAAGCTTTGTCACTGACCTGTTGCAGTAGAAAACAGCGTTCTTATCTAAGAGCGCAATTGCAAAGGAATACAGCTCGATTGCCTCCAGATACTGCTGGGACTGCATGGCCTTGTTACCTAAAAAGAGGTAATAATTCCAGTTGAAATAGACTGAGACAACCATTAAAAAAAACTTCTTGGTCACTCTTTTTGGGCATCACAAGTACCTTGGCATCACAAAAATTACAGAGGAAAAAACCAAAGAAAGTCTTTCTTCAATTTTCCTCTCAACTAACAATAAAGTCTTTCTTCTTCTCTATCACTAGAAGAAACATAAATAAAGATTTCCAGCTGAGAGGATCATCTATGTAGTAACACCACCACCACCACATTTTCTTTTTATCTCCTGCTATTAGCTACCTTGTTCTTGCTCATATCAGCAAGCTCCTCAACAAGTTTCTTCTTTTCTTTACTCAACTTCTTTGGTATCTCTAACTTGCACTCTCACTAACTGATCACCTCTCATCTTACTCTTATTCAACACCGGTACTCCCTTTTTCGCCATCACAAGCGTCGTGCTCGGCTGTGTCCCCGCTGGTACTTTCAAATCCACCGTTCCATCAACCGTTGGAACCTTCAAAGTTGTCCCCAATATCGCATCTACATACGATATCTTACACGTATAGAGTATATTCGTATCATCCCTCTTCAATATCGGATCAGGAATCACTTCAATAACAGCACAAAGATCACCAGCTGAGAGTCAATTTCACAACAGAACCGTTCCATCGGCGCCGTTAGCCGTCTGTAAAGTTCCGCCGCAGGTGATCATGGTTTTAGGTTTAGATTTGATTATTGGATGTCGAGGGGAAGAAGACAACAGTTTTAGGTTTTATTAGTTAGGGGTATAATTGTATTTTGCCTATTAAAAATTTAGTGGTAAAGTTGGTTAATGTATAAATGAAAAATGGTATTAGGAATGTGGTATTTATTACAATTTCCCTTTTTTTTTTTAATTTTGTAACATAAGAAATTGATTTATTTATTCATTATTGTTATGCATGCAAGGCTAATAAACGTATTGGATTGACTCACGAAAGTGATAAATTTTCTTTAAAAATGGTATAATCTATCTTTGATTTTCTTAATAGGTTTGATAAAGTGAACTAACACCTATATATTGTAATTTTAAATTAATTCGAGCTTTAGGTACCGCTAGTTATGTTTAGGCAGATAAATTAGTGTAAGTGAACATTTATAATATGGGAGAATTTCAATTATACCACTTTGGTGGTACCACTTTTCATGTTTACCATCAACAAAGGAACATTTTCAAAAATATATATTTTATTAAAGAATAAAATACTCTTATATTCTTGTTCTTTATATATATACATAAAATAAATATTAAATAAAATATTAACTCTAAACCCTAAAACATCAATTCTAAACTCTAGACCCTAAAAAGTAAACCCTAAACCCTAAAATATCAATTCTAAACCTTAAACCCTAAACTCTAAACCCTAAAAAGTAAACCCTAAACCCTAAAAAATCAACACTAAACCCTAAACTATCAATCATAAACCCAAAACCCTAAACCCTAAATTCTAATAGTATTTTGACTATTAAAATTTTAATGGTAAAGTTGATTAGTGTAAAGTTGAAAAGTGGTATCTTGAAAGTGTTATTTCTGGCAATTTCCCTTATAATATTTTGTCAAATAAAAAGTGAACATTTATTTATAATAATGAAATTGAGTTTTTTTTTTCTGTCCTTTGGTCGATATGGTCTTGCTATCATTTGTTGAAGTTTCTTTTTTAAATTTGGTTTTTTTACAAAAATTTATTGCCCAGTTGTAGAATAGGTTACCAAGGTTAAACTTATATCGGTTCCAAGTTCCAACCATCTCGGGCCTAATGTCTTATAATTTAATCTTAAGTGATGTAATTATCTGGGTCCATTTAAACAAAAACCATTTCTTCTCTCTACACCTCAATCATCGGAGCTCGGCAACCAAAGACGTAATGATCCCCTTTCCCTTCACTGGAAAATAACGATTCCATAGTTGCGACATTCAATCACCTAAACCTACTAAGAGCATCTCCAATGGTGTTATCCAATTAAGAGTCCTTAAAAATTAAAAATAATAAATTATAAAATTTGCGAAATTTTTTCTTTTTTATAAAAAAATCATTGGTTCATGGCATTATCATCTCTATAAATCATTGGAAATAATACAATCCAGTAATCACGATAACTGTGTTACTACCAAGCTTACAGATTGAAGAAAGCTTAATATGTGGAAAGAAAAAAAACCAAGCAATTGACAGCTCTAAACTATGTGGAAAGAAAAAACCAAGCAATTAACTAGAGAGCTGTAATGAAACCATTGAGTTGAAATTTTCCAAAAACAAGTAGCAACAAAGCTGCTTTCAATATTCATTAGTAATCTAATGAATGCACGTCCTAACAATAATGTATCGAGAATATATAAGCCAAAGCAAAAGCAACATGCATAAAAATGATATAAGTGGAGATTAGTATAAGATATGACATGTCAGTCAATATCAAACTCACTCTCAATAGAGGAAAATCGGATGCAGAAAAGCTCATCCTTGAGTTCACCATCAGCAAAGTTACGGGCATGCCATACACAAGACATTTCATTTCCAAGTGTTCCTGAACACTCATCCCCTGTTTCAGTGCAAACAAACAGTTCCAAAAGAAGAAGATAAAAATAAGTAAAACAGTAACCTAAATAACCCCCATATACCATTGACTGGTGGTGACTGTCTCAGCAAGCTTGTAACTTGCCTTGGCTCTATCTCTCGGTGCAAGAAGCAATATATCCTTAAGCTCAAGCGGTCTTTTTGACCCCGCTGAGAGAAGCGGATCCAACCAAGAAAGCGTCACTAGACTAACAAGTCCAGCACTACTGTACAAAGTGACTTTAAGACAAGCCGCTTCTTCTTCCACAAGCAAAGGCTCTTGAAGATCAGAAGAGCTTCCATGAACTTCAATACCAGAAACACCTCTCAACGCCACAAAGCAAAGAAACCCAAGAGCAGGTGTCACAGCTAAATTAGCCACAACATGAGAAGAACATCCGCTCCAACCGCAAGCCTTCTTCCGTCAACATACAAAGTACATAGACAAACAAAAAACGCCAAGAACTACCATATCCTCAGCAAGAAGGGTAACTTCTCTGACGGCTTGTAGTATTTCAAATGAAGAGCTACGAAGCTAATAACAACCCAAGCTAAACACTGAGCAGCTGGGAAACAGAGAAAAACCAGTCACTAGCTTCTCTTATAACATTAATCCCATCAAACACTAACACCAAAAATTGTACGCTTAACACATAGACACAACAGAACAAAGATAATATAAAGCCAGTCCCAAAACTAACATCGTTAATTTCTCTTTCCAAGCTAACATTAACAGTAACATCTTCCTTAGAGAGTTTTGGAATCTCAAAAATCCCTAAACCCTAGGGATGTTCGATTAGATCTAGTAGACTTACATATCGAGGACGGCGTCTTCGTCTTCCTCAGCGGTATTGACGGCAACCTCCTCAAGTCTAAAGATCGGAGCGACTTGAGTTCCGGTGTCCTCGTCCTCGTTAGCTCCAGCTTCCTCCACGTCTGGTGGATTTGATTGTTCGTCAAGTTGTACGTGCCACGTCACAAGGACCATCCCAATTTAATCCTTAGCTAAGGATGAGTCCGTAACTTTTTTTAGTTTTATATTAATACTAGGTGACCGGCCCGCACCCAGTGCGGGTATATACAGATTCAAATTATGGACTTAATAATACAAAGTTTTAGAAGTAATAGATTTTATATCATAAGACCACCATCTTTCAGGTAAAGCTTCAGGCACAAAAAAATGCCTGTACACAATATTTTACATGGAGGAGATGGAACAAAGTAACTTCAGTATCAATAGGTAGTTATTGTGTGTATTTATAATTGCAACATCACAAAAAAAAAATTGTGTGTTGAAGGTTGAATTTTATTTTCCAAATCTGAAATTAATAGTGTGTAGTTTTATAAGTAACATATTTTCTATTATCACTAATTAGAATTGTATTGTATATGTGTTGTAATTCTTTATTTTAGGTGAAAATATTATTATGCATAACTTTTTTCGTAAAATGTATGTAGACAGATTAAAAGAAATGTTACACATATCCCCCTCTCTCTCTCTCTCTCTCTCTCTCTCTCTCTCTCTCTCTCTCTCTCTCTCTCTCTCTCTCTCTCTCTCTCTCTCTCTCTCTCTCTCTCTCTCTCTCTCTCTCTCTCTCTCTCTCTCTCTCTCTCTCTCTCTCNTTAACCAATAGAAGAGTATACTATTGATAACACGTTCAAAACTTAAACAACGTCAATGAGCTTCCGTTCAAAAGCATGATTGATTCAATCTACTCCAAGTCTGAAAGAACATGTAAAAAATTATATTTACCCAAACACAATTTCTAATGACGTTTTCTTTTGATAAAAACATGAGTTTACTTAGTTTATCCGTATTTTTCTTTGGTTGCATAATATATCTTGTGATAGTTTTTTCCAAGTAGCATTCCAAACGTTTTCTGGATTTGTGATACTATGTGTTAGTAATAGGACACAAAACAACTTGCGTAGATCCTTTGCTGATGCCCAATAACATGCTTCTTTAATAACTTCAATATTTTTTTCATCATAGTCCTTGCAGATAATAGAAGAAGTTATTTTTTTTTTGTAAAAAACGTCATTAGATTAAGCTTTGAAGAAAATAAGCTACTTAAAATGTAAACCATAAGAAAATGTAAGATATATATAAGTGTTGATATGGTTGCACGATAAGTTAGTATCAAATAATATATTCGTATTATTTATTACATTCTTTTTATTGCTATATAGATGTTCTGAATTTAATGCGTTAACATAAATCATTCTTAATTATTACCAATCAATCTTGTGAATTAAATTTATACAATA